CCTCAGCGAATTACAAGATCTTCCAACTTCGTTTCTTTACACTTGTGCTTAAGATAGTTCTTGAAGTCTCTCCACGAAGGGGGCAATTTTTCAATCATTGCAGCCACTTGAAATGCTTCATTCACGACCATACCTTCAGCAATAAGGTCATGAAAAATAAGTTGAAGCTCCTGAACTTGGGTTCCAACAGTTTTGCTGTCTATCATTTTATAGTCTATAAACTCGGCAACCACGAACTTCTTTAAGTATGCATCTTCAGTCTTGTACTTCTTGTCAAGTGCGTCCCATAATTCTTTCGAAGTATTCATCGCACTATACACATTGTACAAGTCATCCTCTAAAGCGCTTAAGATATAGCCGTTGCAAAGAAAATCTACATGCGTCCACGCCTCAACAATCATGAATTTTTCGTTGTCCGACATGTCCGCAGCAGGCACTGGAGGTTCTTCACTAGTGAATTTCTGCATACCAAGTGTGGTAAGCCACAAGAACACCCTTTGCTGCCATCCTTTGAAGTTGGCTCCAGAAAATTTCTCCGATTTCTCTGCTGGTGGAACATCAGTCCGGCTTGACGAGGCTATCGTCATTGCCACAACAGTTGCAGAAGAATTTCCGTTATCAATTGTCATTTCTCACTGTAAACAACAGAAGAGTTCAATTAATGGCAAATCCAGAACAGTAAACAATACTGTTATTAATAACAAACAGTATGTATAATAAATAAAACCGAAGTCTTTATATACTGTTTCACAGAAAATAATGAAATTTTTATGTTCTTCAATTCGTTTTCTGAATTTTAATACTCTGATGAAGTTTTTATATCTTCAAATCAGAATAGTAAAATTCAGAAGGAGTAGAAAACCACACAGGTTTTAATCTCCACAAACAGAATACAGAATATAATAAATAATTTTCTTAACATTGTTATAAATCTGTATTGCTGTAATAAACAATTAAACCATTAAACTTTCTGAAAGATATAAACAAAAACAGAAAGTTAGTAACACTTGTTTAACGAAATAAATTCTGAAAAAAAACAGTATAAGAATAAATCGAGCCCACTGAATACACAGTATATCCTTAAGGAAATTATTCCCCTCAAGTACCCGAGGTGCTGGAATATATCCTCCCAGGATAGAATGATTTAACTCACCGGAGTGTTGATATAAAAAACGCCGGTAAACAGCTAGCTACTCGAAGGCTGTAAAACACACTGGAATTTTTGTGCAGAAAAAGAAGAAGAAGACGAGAAAATTTCGTAAGGAAAGATTCTGGGATTCAAAGTATATTTATAGAGTTGCTGGCACTGTTTCTGAAAAGGTTTGCAACCTTTCAGAAACAGCCATGGCTGTTGGAATAGGTTGTTTGAACTATTGCGGGAAAACAGATTTAAAATAATGGAAAGAAAATGGGCCTGACCGGACCGGGTCGCCGGTCATGGGTTATTCCAGATTGAATTTTTTGTTAATTATTTAATTAATTAAATAAATAATTGAAAGGAATTTTGTCCAAAAAGATTAATCAATCAATCTTTGACCGAAGCCGAAGCCGAAGCCGAGCGAGCGACGACGACGGCGTGAGACTTGCCTTCTTCTTAACTCTTTAAGGTCTAGAAAAAGAGCAATTATATATATACTCATCAAAAATCTTTTCTTTCTCCAATATGGGACAATGTCCCTACGAGGAAAACTCAAATATTTTATTTTTCCTCCCTCAACTCCATTTACCACTAAAACAAATCTCCCTCCATATAATCTCGATTACTTTATGTTAATCTAAACACTTTTCCCTAAATAACAAATTATTACTTGATACACATGGTAAACTTCTTTGGGGGTGGGGGTAGTGCCCTACATGGAGCTGAGCAATTGTCCGCTATCGTGGGAATAGAGTCACGTGCACTAGACATAAGAAAATAATTTGTCCTAATCACAATCCAACTTGACGTGTTCCCACGTGGACTTCACCATAACCTAACTTATATGATGTGAGAGCCGAGCAATCCGTTATCATATATAGTTCTTATTTTCTCTATGCATTAAATTGGTATAGTTTTAAGTATTCTCGGTTTTCAATCAAGATATTGTGAGTTCGAGTCACCCCAAGAGCAATGTGGTAAATTTTTGGAGGGAGAGAATCAAGAGTTTATCGGAAACAACCTCCCTATCTCAGGGCAGGGGTAATGTGTGTGTACACACTATCCTTCCCAAATCTCACTAGTGAGATTATATTGGGTTATTGTTGTTATATTTTGTAGGCGCATCTCATTACACGTTAAAAAAAATGATGTACCAAAAATATCTTCAATAATTGAAGAGATACCAATAATACAATCTTATCCATTTTTAGCTAATCAGATTTTTCTTCTTTTGATTCTTTGTTTCATAGATTTATTGGCGTTCACTAACCTTTTTTGAATTTTTTTTTGTTTTAATACTATTCAAAATTGCTAAATATCTTCCTTAGAAGTACTTTTTGTTCATTCATATTCTTACCTTAAGCAAATTATTTTGATATTTTTCTTTGCCCTTAGTGGATCTTAAATGTGTAATGAGTGGATTTCATTTGTTCAAATATTTTTGAGAAAAAAGTCCAATTTACCTCTCAAAGTTTTGACTATAATTCTTAATTACCTTTATGTTGGAGCTCTTTTAGGAGTCAAATAAAAATCTTTCTCCTAACTAGTAGTGTAATATTAGAGCAAAAGTTTAACGAAATACAAAATAGCTTAATTTCGAAGAGTACAACAAATTTGACCCATGTTCTTATTTTATTTACTATATATTTATAAGATATTTCCTTGCAACTTGGATTTTGTTGACATAATTGATCAATTGATATTTATGATAGCATTTGAGTTCTTTGGATTTTAGTCGCATAATATTTGTTGACAGTCCAATATATACTCCTATTATATCAGCTTTATAGGCATTTGATTAAAGAGTATGATTTATAACGTTAACGATTGCAAAAAATTAATTTACCTAAGAGGCTATGAATCCAAATTAAATACACTATTAATTATAGGCAGTTTAATATCTTATGTATAGTTAATAATATTATCCTCCATCTGTACATTAGGAAAATGACACAGTCGCTGTTTAAAAAGTCAATTTTTCTTACCCAATGTGTTTTCAAAAATTGTTTAAATAATTTTAACTATAAAAAATAATAATTTATAGTATGTTTTATGTAAATACGACTTTATCTTCTTCTTTTTTTGTTGAAAAGTGAGAACCCACTTCACATTAAAATCCTCTAATTATTAGAAATGTCGAAAAATTTACATTTGGCTCTAAATTTTTAAAAACTCATACTATTTCGAATCGCGTCATTCTTGTTGATAGGAAAATGCATTATTCACGAAAAGGAAAGAGGACGTCCACCTAAAATTAATTGTCTGTCCCATTAGTTAAAGGATAAGATAACAGTGCTAACAACTAAATGATTCATGATTAAGATAAGCAAAAAATCAGGAAGCATGATCTACCTACCTGTTTTTTTGAAAGTGATGAAAGATGACACTGCGCACCGAATTTATTCAATGTTTGATGTGTTACTATATCGGTTTTATTTGAACCAAATACTTTTCGACGTTGAATATGAATTATTCTAAAATTTTTGTAAAAATTACAACAAATAATATATATGATCTCATAACTTTAAAAAAATATTAGGTTCTTGTTTATAATCTCCAATGTTGAACTCATAAATTTTAAATCCTAAATCTGCATCTGCTGGTACTGCACCAAACAAAGGGGCCTCGGCTTGATAAACAATCTTGTTTTATTTTGCTTTTAATGTGGTTTATTTTCTTTATAAATCTGGATCTGGTTTCGTGAAATTAGATTCTAGGACAATTGTGAGAGAATTTGTTTGGTTTGTGATCGAATCTCACATATGGTTTTTTTTAAATTCTTTATATGGCTTGGGCAAATCCTCACCCTTTGAGCTACCTTTTGAAATTGAGTTAGGCCAAAGGTTCAAGGTGAGTCTTATTATAGTATCAAAGCTAGGTCCCTGATGTTCGGCCCCCGGGATTGATTGTTCACGCTTAAGTTGGCAAGTTTGGGCATGCGAGAGTGATGGAATCCCATATTGAAGAGAATAGCCGTTCATATTCATTGTTTACTTTTTTTAGCCATATACATAAATTATACATTAATTAAACACAATTATACGTGTATATTACATAAATTATGTATATATTATGCCTCAATCGACTATTTTTTCATTTAAGTGATTGGATGAGCGACTATGTGGGTTAACTCTTCTATTGAAGATGGATGGGCTCCTTGGACTCTTTATTAGGCTTGTGCAACCCTTATCCTTTGAACTAACTTTTTGGAATGAGTTAGACTCAATGCTCATTCTTATAAGTTTTCACAAACTATATAGTTTAAAGTCTAGTAACTATAGTTTGTTTAATTATTATTCATAACTACTATTCAATTGCTACTAATTTGTATCACTTGTATTCAAACGCGCAACGAATACAACATGTGTCAAATGTATTCGTTCACACAACGAATACAACATGTATCAACTGTATTCGTTCGCGCAACGAATACAACTAAGGTGAAACAGAAATGCAGGAAAATAAAATGTTGTTGTTGAGAGTCTAACTCAATACCTCCGCTGACTAAGTAGGCGCTCTAATCAATTGAGCTACAAGAGCTTGTTGTTCCCTTGTTTTAGTTTAAAATAATTAATCTCTTATTTTATGAATTTGTTATAAAATTCAAATATAATTACGAATAGTAAATTTACTGAAAGTATAGCTACGAATGATAAATACAATATAAATATTTGATGTGTCGGGCTTTCTCTTTGATAGGCTTTACAGAATACGAATTCGAATTAATAGACTGAATGCACATACTAGACACTAGGTTGGTGGGAAGCCCCCACCCACCCCCACCCCCACCCCCAAAAAAAGTATAGTAGAGCCAGAACTTCCGCGGTTTAAAACCATTGAGTTTCCTCTGTTTTCTTCACACTAACTTTACCTCACACTACTCTTTCCTTTCCATTTTCTCTCAGTTTTCCTTGCACTTCCCTTCATTTTCGACACTTTAATTTATGCAAATAACTTATAAAATATCTTTCTTTTAGTAGTTGTTTTTCAACCTTATGTTTGTCATTTTATACAAGGTTCATTTTCAACCACATGCTATATTGCCATCAATCTTAGATATCTGCTTTAACTTTATGTCAATTTCCATGTCTTAATTCATCTCCTTTATATATGTTATCTTCTTTGTTCTTTTACTTACAGTTCTTCACTGGTTTTGTTCACATTTTAGTTTTCTCCGAGGGGGGCGAAAATACCCAAGAAAATATCTTGTTATTAGCATTACAAAAACGAATCTTGAACTTCTTTTTTTAATATGTAAATTACGTGGTTTCTTTATCTGGGTTATTTATAAAGCTGTCAAGATTTTGGTTTTTCATTTGGACTGTGGAACTGAGCTGTTGAATTAGTTTAAATGGAGCTGAAATATGTTGATTCTAAGGCAATATCAATGTGTAAATCAGTTGGTATGGAGATGATGAAGTTTTCTAGCTCATTTTTAGACTCAAAGCTCAAGTTTGGTGTCAATGTAGCTCCCAAGTTTTGTTCTTGCAAAGGTAATTTTCTGTTATATAATTAGGCTTGTCTACCCTTTTGATTTTTGAATTTAATTAGAAGGTTATTTTTCCAGTGCATTCATCTTTTATGGGTATAAGAAGACTGTTACTCTATAGTCTTAAACATGCTACGGCGTTTCTGTGGCTATAATGTCATAAAATGAAAGTTTAAAAGGTTTAACTTGTTTTGTTTCTAAGTACTAAAATATGTCCTTTTTTTAGCAACGGTCTAAAACTGAAAAGTATACCCAAATTATCATAAAATGGAACAGAGAGAGTACAAGTTTCGTGCTTAGAGTATTTAATTAGTGTATCCCGATTTTGGAGAAAGCCAGCCATAAGCTACTTCTTAGAATAGTTGTTTTCTGCTTTGTTGATTGGACCCTCCAAAATTGTTGTGGCACCAGTGTCGAATCCTCCAAAAATGCATATTGAAAGGATCCGGCAAACACCCGGTGGTATTTTTGAAGAGTCCGAGCGGGTTTGATATTTTGATAGTAAGTGCATGTTTTGAAGGTCAAAGCATTAGCTATGCAGATAAAAGCATTTCATGTTTGTCCTTCATTTGTTGTAACGTTTGTTGGGTGTTTCATACTTAACTCGAGTTCAAGTGTTCGATTGGTATAAGTCTTAGTAGAGGTGTCTAATTGAAAAAATCAGGCAAGTTTAAGGGGTATGTATTCAGCATCATTCATTCCACTTTTCTCATGTACTAAGAGATTTGTGTTTCTTGTTGAATAATGTGACCATTTTTTAGATGTTGTGGTCACACTATTCAATATGGTATGAGAGTTCAAGTCCTACCGCCATCCATTAACATAATATCATGCTCGCAGTTGAATCATACTGTCAACATAAAAATGGTTTCTCTCTAACATTTCCAGTCATTTTATTCCGTTTTAGACGAGCTTAAGTTTGTGTATTCAAGTAAGTCCGCTCTTGTCAAAATGGCTCTACAATGAGGCAATACAAAGCGCATCATTAGCTTTCCTGTTTCTACTGCGGTCATTAAGAAGAATATTATCGACGCATTATTAGATAACACCACTACTGCTGCTGCTAAATGAGTAGTGTTGCTTTTTGTACTGACAATGAAGTTGAAATACTGTACTTTTCTGGTTTACCTTCAGGGCTTTCAGTGAAGGCTTCTTATTCAAGAACTTCTTATGATGCTACAAGCTCAGTCACCAAAAAGAATTTCTTAGTGGACACTTTCTCTTATCAGATAAATGGTACAAACCGTACAGGTTTGTATTTTAGAGATAAATGGGTACTTGATGCCTCTGATGATGAATACGGAGGAGTACTCGTCAATGCAGAAAGACTACCATCCAATCCGGGCAAATTTACGTCTGTACTACGTGCATCTCTCGCTCATTGGAAAGTGAAGGTATTTCAGCAACTACTATGTTAGACTAGTCTCAAACTTCATGACTAGATTTGTTGTCTGGTGTTGATTACTACACAGTGTTATCATAGGCGAACCACCCTTTGGAGCTCTAGCTCAGAGATCAAATAAAGCGCGGGCTTTAGTGAACAAAGGCGAAAATGGGAGAAAATACGATTATATATGTATAGTCCAACAATAATAATTATAAGCATGAATTGAAAATATATGGATAAAGAAATTGAAAGCGATCTACGACAAAGTGAAATTTCATTTGTTTAGCATCGCTTATGCTCATTGGCAAGGAAAAGTATGCATTAGAACCTTGATGTCGACACTGAAGCACCCACTAAGCAAGGTGAAACGCTCAATATGTTTTGAGCCTCGCTTCAAGACTTAAGCGTGCCTTTGACAACATTGTAACTGCATAGTGGAAGCTGTTGCATTTTAACTTTTTCCTGCCGTTGCATTTTAACTTTTTCCTGTTTATTTTCGACAACTCTTGCGATTGTAAAACACACTTGGAATCTTTTCCAAAAAGACTCGCCATTTTTGTCAATTATTATTAGATAACATTTTATAAAACAACTTTTGCTAATTAATGGCTCCCAATGCACAGGGGAAGAAGGGAGTTTGGCTAAAGCTACCAGTGGAAAAATGTGATCTAGTTCCTATTGCAGTAAAGGTATTATATCACTTTACCTGAAATCTTTTTGGTGTTAGTTCTTTTGATGTTGAGTTTTGGCTAAAATAAATGGTCAAACTCTAAATTTTTGTAGGAAGGATTTCAGTACCATCATGCAGAAAAAGGATATGTCATGTTGACTTATTGGATACCGGATGAACCCTGCTTGCTTCCTTCTAATGCATCTCATCAAGTCGGAGTTGGAGGTTTTGTGATCAATGACAAAAATGAGGTGCATATTTTTCTATTTGGATGAACTTCCTATTAACATGTATAAGCTTATGAAGATCATTATGCTTGAAATATATCAAGGGTCTATCGGAAACAACCTCTCTACCTTCTTAAGGTAGGAGTAAGGTCTGCGTACATACTACCCTCCCCAGACCCCGCTCATGGGATTATACTGGGTTTTCTGTTGTTGTTGTTGTTGTAGTCCCATAGCCTCTAATGAAATACTGATTTAGGTGCTCGTCGTGCAAGAGAAGCATTCTGCGCCGGCTCTTTCAGGCCTATGGAAAATACCAACTGGTTTCATTCTTGAGGTATGTTCCTGTATTGCAATTTGACCTTAGCATTTTGGTCACTTTTGACAGAAGTAAATACTGAAACGTGTAGTCTGTATACTTAACTCCTTAAACGTTGTTCTTGTGTCGAAATACAGTCAGAGGAGATCTTTACAGGAGTTGTGAGAGAAGTGAAGGAGGAAACTGGGGTAAGAAATCCACATTTTAACATATTTTTTTTACTTAAACTAGCAATTGTAATCAAAATGATGATTTTTCTTTTTCATTACTCTTTCCAGATTGACACAGAATTTGTGGAGGTTATGGCTTTCAGGTAACGAAATTCTTCCTCTTCAAAGGACCATAAGTTTATCGTGACTACTTTATGCCTTTTTAGCGTTAGGAAGATCTATATTAGCTATTTTATAAGAACATGAAATGCTGATACGATAAGTATCCGAGCAAACTTTGTCTCAGACACTCACAGAACCTAGAAGTTTAGGATACTTCTTGCTTTCTAAAAAGGGGCAGCCCGGTGCACTAAGTTCCCGCTATATGCGGGGTTCGTGTAAGGGCCAGACCACATTGTGTCGTATGTATGTAGCCTTACCTTGCAATTTCTACAAGAGGTTGTTTTTGCGGCTTGAACCTGTGACCTCCTGGTCACACTGCGACAACTTTTATCATTGCGCTAAGGCTCCCCTAGACTTCATTGTTTAGGACACTTCTTGCTTTCTGGTGTAACAAATTGATCGAAAAGGATGTGCATTCGATGTAGAAATATAAGATTTATTTTCTTCCAACTACAATAAAAACTGCCCATCTTCAAGCTTAATTGAGCTTCTTGCTCTCACTCATGCTATTTGAGACAATCACACTCTAAACCTTAGTTTAAAGTGTCAAGTGAAATGCTGGTTAAATTTTGGACTCTAATTGTTTATTTTACAGTCTCCATTTTTTAATTAACACTTATCGATGTCCTCTTTCAGGCACGCACAAAATGTGGCCTTTGAAAAGTCCGATTTGTTCTTCGTCTGCCTATTAAGGCCCCTGTCAAAACATATCAAGGTTGATGATCTAGAAATTAAGGCTGCTAAGGTAAGCATATTGTATAAGTTAATAGGCAATAAAAATAGATTTGATATCTGTAATTCCTTCACTAAGTGATATATTCAGTTTAATTCATCCCATAATATCATCCCCATTATACTTTTTATTCCATCCATTACGTTTATTTTCTGGAGGAAAACATTGATTAACCTCAAGAAAATTGAGAAACTACTTATTCCGTCATTTCAGAATACGGGCCATTAACATCTAACATTAATATTTAGAATATACTCATCTATTGGCATTTTCATTCTTGTTTAATGTTCCACATTGGTTTGGGAAATTTGTTGTTTCCTCGCCCGATGAGCTAGCTTTTTATGTTAAATTAGGCCAATGTCCTTTTTTCTTAACATGGTATCACAGTCGGATTCATCCATGTTCTTGGCTTTGTGTCACACCCATCCATGTTCTTCGCTTTGCACCACACTATATTGTTCATGCACAAGATGTTCAATCCTAGGCGTGCAAGGGATGTTAAGTGTCTTATATTGGTTGGGAAAATGTGTTAGTTCTTTTCTTATATGATTTTGGACAATTCTCACCTTATGATCTAGCTTTAGGAGTTGAGTTAGACCCAAAGTCCATTTTTTTAACAATTCTGACGAGAGTGTGGTTTATGCCACCTTGCATTTAGTTAACCTGCCTTTTTTTTTTTTCGCGATGCAGTGGATGCCTCTAGTTGAGTTTGTGGAGCAGCCCTTAATACAAGGAGATGACATGTTCAAGAAAATAATTGACATTTTCATCGCTCGACTAGGGAAGCGTTACTGCGGATTGTCTGTCCATCAACTGGTTTCCAAATTTGATGACAAACTTTCCACATTGTACTTCAACACAGTTGATGATCCAGATTTGAACTGTGAAGCTAGTTAGCATCACAATCAGCATAGATATTACACTTCACCACTCACAATGACTAACATCAGTTAGTCGTATATGTGATCTGCTGTAATCTGCAGGGTATTGACTCTGTAAATATGTAAAATATATGTTTTAAGTGATTTAGTTTTCCAAAAAAGTTTTTCTTCCCTCAATGGCACTTTAGCTCATAATTGTGCAAAAGCAAGGACATATGCTGAATTTTTGAATGTACAATTTTAAGATGCAAGACCAGTTTACTATACAATACAACTGAAACAAAAAATTACTCTGTATACAGTCAAGCAATCAAAATATCAACGAGTCAAGCTCAACATACTTGATAACATTTGAATTATGAACTTCATATCATTATTTTAACCAACACTTAGACATTATTATCAGTGTTTAATACTTGAAACATTGTCCGGTTTGCAACAACGAAAAACATTTATCGAGATAATAGTTTTAAAAATAAAATAAAGGGAAGCTTTGGCGTAATTGGTAAAGTTGCTGTCATATGACCAGGAGGTCACGGGTTTGGACCGTAAAAACAACCTCTTGCAGAAATGCAAGGTAAGACTGCGTACAATAGACCGTTCCTCGGATCCCGCACATAGAGGGAGATGTAACGACCCGGCCGGTCGTTTTGTGAGTTGTAGCCCCGTTCTCCCATTTACTGCTCATTTTATGCTTAATAGTTTCTATGTGACATGCTGGGGTAGTCGGTTCGGTTCTGGGGAGGTTTCAGAATGAGTTCGGTTCTACTCTTCACATGGTCGAACCATCTAATTTTATATAACCTTATATGTTCGTACATTCATCTCAGCATCCTTATTTCAGCCACCTTCATCTTCTAGACATGAGAGTTCTTGACTAACCAACACTCTGCCCCATACAGCATAGTCGGTCTGACCACCGCTCTATAGAACTGACCTTTAAGTTTTGGTGGCACATTCTTATCACAAAGAATACCAGAAGCGAGCCTCCATTTCATTCATTCCGCTCCAATACGATGTGTGACATCCTCGTCAATATCCCCATTCCCTTGTATAACAGACCCAAGGTACTTGAAACTTTCTCTCCTACGGATGACTTGTGAATCAAGCCTCACGTCTTCGTCCACTTCCCGAGTCGCGCTACTGAACATGCACTCCAAATATTCTGTTTTGGTCTTGCTCGTCGTGCAAGAGAAACATTCTGCCCCGGCTCTTTCAGGCTTATGGAAAATACCAACTGGTTTTATTCTTGAGGTATGTTCCTGTATTGCAATTTGACCTTAGCATTTTGGTCACTTTTGACAGAAGTAAATACTGAAACGTGTAGTCTGTATACTTAACTCCTTAAACGTTGTTCTTGTGTCCAAATACAGTCAGAGGAGATCTTTACAGGAGTTGTGAGAGAAGTGAAGGAGGAAACTGGGGTAAGAAATCCACATTTTAACATATTTTTTACTTAAACTAGCAATTGTAATCAAAATGATGATTTTTCTTTTTCATTACTCTTTCCAGATTGACACAGAATTTGTGGAGGTTATGGCTTTCAGGTAACGAAATTCTTCCTCTTCAAAGGACCATAAGTTTATCGTGACTACTTTATGCCTTTTTAGCGTTAG